TCATTAACAAAAAAATCAAAATTAATACTAATCCTAAACAAAAACAAAAACAATAAGGATATAAATTTATTGTTATAAATATGTACTAATATAGAATATTCCAACAATTCATATACCACATCTAGTATAAGAGCTCTGTTTTACTCCAGCAGTATCAAGAGCAGGTCCGGGAGTGGCTTGCTTTATCGGGACAGGTGCCCCTTTGGTGATAGCTAGGGGGCAACGTGATGAGAAGATGGGTACTACGATGAGGATTCCTTTTGGTTGTAGCGTGGATGGTGTAGTTGCTCGGGGTTTCACATTTAGAAGGGGGTTTAGTGGTGAGGGATAGGGTTGGTACAGTGGTTTTTGTGCAGGGCTTTCTTTATGTAGGTATTGACGATCCGTACATTGTCGAACTGTGACTCATCCTGAATATCACAATTAATTCCCGCCTAAGGTCCAAGTATAAACCATAGTAGGGTGCAATACAGGGCAAGTATGTTTAAATATCGACTCGGGCCGGTCCGTGTACCCCTACTTCAATTGTTTGAAACATTATCTAGTGAATCAGTTTTGGTTGAAAAGATTGATAATTAAAGTAAAGCAAGGCAAAAGTAAAAGTAAAAGATTTTGAAAGCTCTATGTAAGAAGGATCACTCGTGTGTCGCTTCCCCCTAACTACTAACATGGCATGAGGAATTGAATTAATTGTTACGGGCAAGGTGACCACGAACCGCTAGGAAACGTAATTATGGTCGTAGACCACACTCTTGGTGAAGGCAATCGATGGTTGGCTTACTCTCTCACTCAACCCAATGGTTGGTCGGCTTAATCGCGCTTAACCAAATTGCTTAATTCAACATAGAGGTTTGCCCTACATTAACCTAGATAGGTTGCTTAAAAAGCCCAAGGAATCCCAACTGAATTGAGCCTCCTTTGAAAGGGGGTTTTCCTTCTCATCTAGGTTAGAATAGCCAATTGGATTGCTAAACACAAACATCCACAATCAACATGAAAAATACCTCAATGATTGTTGTTACACCCCGACATTTGGGTATTGGATCGACAATTACGTACGAAGTAGTACAATCGTGAATTAGGAATAATAATAATAACTATTATTATTACTATGAATGGGCACATATTTATACCATTTAGCCTAAATTAAATCCCAAAGGAAAGGGTGTGGTGTGCTAGCGGCCAAAAGAGAACCCATGAATTGTTTTGTCCAACAGTTATGGGGTTTACGTTTAGGAGGATGATAAATTACAATTATTGTTATGGTTATTATAATGATAGTGTTGACACCTAAAAATAATTTTGGCATCAATTAAATGCCACATTAATTGGTATGTGCATTTAATTCGATACCGCGGATATAAAACGGTCTCGTTTGGAGTTGAGCGGCATCGCGAAGAGTTAAAACGATACCGCGAAACAGAAAAATGGTACCGCAAAGAAGCTCAGCAGTACCGCGGCACTGGAAACGACACTGTTTACTGGAAAACAAGTTGTGGGCCGCAATATTGGTGTTGTTGTTGGAAAAGGGGTGTGTTTTTATTCCTTATCGGAGAAGGAGAGTGAAACGACACCGCGTAGAGACAAGCGGTATCGCGGATGGGTAAAACGATACCGCGAAGCAGAAAAACAGTACCGCAAGGAAGCTCAGCGGTACCATGGCACAGGAAACTACATTGTGTACCGGAAAATAAGAGGTGGGCAGCGCGTTAAGTAGTGGTCTTGGAAAAGGAGTTTTATTTATTTATTTATTAATTATGTTTTATTCCTTGTCGAAAGGAGAAAAACGGTACCGTGAGTAGGCCCAACGGTGCCGCGGTACTAGCAAACGACAGTGTTGAAAATAAACAGTGTCGTGTGGAGGCACCCAACAACTACATGGCAAATAGTTAGGGTTTCACAACACCCAAGTGAAAAAGAGTACTACTCCATGCTAGGAAGGGGAAGAACACAAGAGGAAGAGGTAGAAACCATCATGGTGATTCCTCCAATCTCCTTTGAGTGAGGGCACATTCCGGCTAAGATGAGTGAAATCCGTTTTTGGCTAAAGTAGCCTTCGTTCCAGTGCCATTTGAGTGAGGAATGAAGTTGATCTTCTTTGGGGAGAATCTTCCTAATCCATCACTTAGAGAAAACCCTAGCCTTCTTTCTTCCTTGGTTCATCCTTTCTCTCTCTAAATATGAAGAAGACACTTTCTCACACTTTGGCCTCCCCCTCTCTCTTTCTTTCAACTCACATTATATACCAGGATCGGGCTCAGTTCACGGCCTCAGTTCACGATCATGAACTCTTCAACGCGTCCGTGAACATAGAGCGTGATGCCGAAACACACCGCTTCGCATTTGGAGTTCACGGTTTGGCCTCAATCTTCACGGTCTTGTTGACCGTGAACTTGTCCCGCGCTAGTAACTGAAGAATTCTCCCTGGACGCATCGCGGTTCACGGTTTTGGGCTTTACTTCACGGCCATAGTGGACCGTGAACTGCGCATGGATCACCCTCTTTGCCCGGTCTTTGCCTCTTTTCGTACAACTTTCGACTCCGGGGCTGGTTTCACCTGTTGGATCCTAAAACACACTAAAACGCACAATACCTAGCGTAAATCCACCCTTTTAGGAGTCCAAATGCTACAAACGCCCAAGGGAAACGGGGATAAAATGTGTGCATTTAGGCCCGAATCACTCCCCCACCCTTAGACGTTTGCTTGTCCCCAAGTAAACCATTTCACACAAGGTAAAAACTCAACCTATCAAAATGCTTTGGGGACAATTCAAAGGGCACAAAGTGGTGAATCTCAAATGGCTATTGGCAATTAACACAAGGACCGTTGCAAGCAATACCGACATCCGCCACAAACGACATTCGAGGCTACCAGAAATGAGCAAATAAAAAGTTCTCACCTTGGTCATGAATCAATGCAAGTTTCAACAATATCACTTACCAACCAAAACTAACCATGCATAGAGTTCAAGTCCATGGAACAAACGGATGGGCAACAAAGGTCCTTACTGGGGTATGATATGATATGCAAAACAAGAATGAATCACTCACTCTCTTGACTAGTGGGGTCGGGACCTTTTGGTGTAAAATATGTGCACAATCATCAACTCTCGGCACTATCGTCTCAACTTCATGGCAGCAACCTCTAAATGCTAGAGTTCATGGAACGGTTGTCATCACTAGCTTGTCCGAAGGTCTTAGACACGGGTTCAAACGACTGGCGATTGTCTTGGACATGGGGAAAAGGCTTTTTTGGGTGGTGGCAAACACATCATGAGGTTCTACATCTGCACCCTAAAATTGAAGGTTCTATGGTTTCGACTAAGAACCTTCCTCACAAACAACGACCACTAGCATCGGCCAAAAACCTTGCTTCTCCCTTCCAAACTATCACCCATCATGAACTTCCCTTAAGCACTCTCCCTCGGTCCACTCTTGCTATCAAACTTTGGTTTGGTAGCGAAGGAGTTCTAAGACACTGTGGAGGTTTCAATGGCTTGTGTGCCAAGAAACCTCACCTAGAGCATACTCTTTGATTCCTTGTGGCACTCTCTACTTTATTTACCCCGTTTTATTACCTCTTTTCGTTTCCCTTTCTTTTTCTTTATACTTTCCTTTTTCTTTTCTTTTTGAGGGGGGTACTAGAGAGTTAAACATTTGCCACACTACTTTTAACGATCAATGCTCTCTTTTTAAGAACTCATTCCAACACTACTCTTCCTTTCACTTTAGATTATGGGCGGCCTTGTCTGGGCTTTTTTTTGGAAGTAGGCCCAGCTGTGTTGCGTCGATCTCGATAGACTTCAGCTGGTTCTGTCCTTGGAAGTTTGTGGATGTACGATTGGATAGAGGGGCGACTCCTCGTGTCTGCCTCTTTGGGTCTCAACCTAAATTGTTATTTATCGAGGATTTCGCGAGGGCTTCAGGTTCAGATAGGATGGCGAGGGTTAATGAATCTTTTGATTTCGATGAGCTACCGTCCTGGGAAGACTTTCTATCATGGAATCTCAAATTAGTGAGATAGATTTTACCGGGATTGAGCTGACTCCTGTTCCAAAAACTCCTTCAACTCCAAGAAATGAAGACATTTCCTCCGCTGAAGCTATACAAGATCTGCCTTCCCCGTCTTGTGCTACCTCTGTCAGCAGTCATGATTGGGATATGAATGGTTTTCCTTTTAATAAGGAATCCCTGGTCGAAACAAGCATATCGGTGGGGACTTTATTAGAATTGGGTCACGAAGGGGGGTCTGAAGAACTGGACAGACAGATCACCAATTCTGCTATTGAACTTCATTAAAGAAAGATCAGGAGCTCCCGTTCCAAGTTGGAGATGGAGATATTCAGGCTGGGGCCTCAGGTTCTCCTCCGACAGGTCCAAGGAAGGTCAAACAAGGGAGAGGTGGGCACTTCAACGATCGCTAAGGGATGGATACAAACAGATGCATTTGGAATGTGAGGGGTCTTGGGGATTCTGATAAGAGGAGCAGAGTTAAAAGACTGTTGGGAAGACAAAATCCCAAAATTATTGGTTTGGTCAAAACTAAATGGTCTGTTTGCTACGAGTTCTTGATTGGGAGTTTGTGTTCTAGAAAGGAAAGAGAATGGGTGGCGAAGAACGCTGTCAGAAGCTCTGGAGGTATAGTAGTGATTTGGGATAAGTTAATTTTTTCTAGGATTTCAGTTGTGGAGGGGGCTTTCTTTTTGGATGTTGAGATCTTGGATAAGCTATCTTCGAAATCCTGGCATTTGGTTATTGTGTATGGACCGCAAGTAGGGCTGTAACTGTGGCCCTTACTACCCATCGGCCCGGCCCGGCCCAACCCTGTGGGTCGGGTAGGGTCAATTACTCATTAGGGCCAAAATAGGGTCGGGTCACATTCTGACCCTAGAGGGTAGGGTATTTTTGGGTTTTACCCTTAAAACCCATTCAGACCCATTTTAACCCTAACACCCTAATTACCCAACCCATTTCGGCTCATCTCTCTTTCCTCGCGATATGGTGATTACCGACGAGTCTTCGAATCCCTTTCCCCGGACGCCATTGTCGACGATTTCTCCAAAACAGCAGTAACCCTTTTTTCTCCGGCAATTTCCCTCTGCCGTCCGGAAAGAATTCCCTCGCCTCCTCCCTCTTCTCCAGTTCTTTGTAGGGAACCTGCGAACCCTAGCTTTTCTTATCAATCGGCGAACTCGCGTTCTCCATTTGGCTGCTGCTGGCTCTGCGCCTCATTGCTGGCCCGAATTCCTCGTCGACAACGAACCGCAGGAACAGCATCTCTGTTGCAAAGCTCTGGTTCCACGGTGAGATTGATGGGTGAGGAGGGAAAATCGAGAGCTAGCTAGCTAGTTTCACTTCTTTAGGTGGTGGATCTGTGAGTTTCATTCATTGCTTCAGGTCCGAGACTCGGAATAGCTTTCATCGTCTTATTATTGAATTTAATTGAGTTTTGTTGGTTTCTTTAGTAGCTGATTGATTGGGGGGTTTTCAAGTCGATCTTTTCTTCGTATCTTACCAAATTTCAAGCTTTCTGCTCTGCTTCAGTGGGTTTTTTGTTGCTTTGGCGATCTTGCTTTAAATGGTGTGATCGCTTATGTGAGTGGTGGTTAGTATGAGTACTAGATGATGAATGTTTGAGGCCAAACCCTTGAAAATGTGGTGGTCTTTTACTGGGTCTTGATTGTTGATCGCTTATGGAAGTTAAGTCACTATGAGGTTTAGGTTTCAAGTTAATCCTCTGCTTTTATACAGTTTAGGTTGTTTATAGCTGCTGGTTTCAGTATGACTGTGCGGACATGTCATGTCATGGTCAGTAATGATTCTACTTTCAGGATTCGATTCAAACCTTTCGTTACAAGGTTGAGATGAATCATGAATGTATTCTTTTCCTGGGATGTAGTGGTATGGTTTTGTTAGAGTGAAGTCGTAGCTCGTTTTGGAGCTGTTATCTATGTTTCATTGTAAGCGGATGAATGTTTTCTCTTGTGTGCAAGTGTTCAGTGCATTCATTCGTAGTTGATGAAGGTGACCTGTTCTTTTTGATGCATTTGTAGATTGAACAGTACAGATCAGAGATTAGAAAGCTCCAAGAATCTGAAGCATAAATCAAAGCGTTGTCGGTCAATTATGCCGCTCTTTTAAAAGAGAAAGAGGTACTTCTAATGCACTACTGCTACGTTGTTTTCAAAGCTTGGAACTGCAGCACAGTGTGATTTTCTTACATACCAGAAAGTTCATTTGATGGTCCTGTGGTTGCAACTTTGTTTCAAATAGGTTAGGACATTGTTTAAGTTTCAAGTTTGGTAATCCAACACTTGAGTTCTGTATGGTTTTAAACTTTAGATTATTGAGCTGCACCAAAAAAGAATGAATGCAGAATGATCTTGCTTCCTTTGCTGCTTTGTTTTGTTGAATGAGTGAGCCATGGCTTGGGGTTTTATAAGGTTTTTTCAGGAGGGGAGTTTGATGGTTTTGTAGTTGTATACCAACAATAGAGAGTCGCTTGTTTTTGTTGTTGTTACAAAGGTTTCTAGTTTTTGGTCTATTGATCCCTCTGTCTTCTTCTGCTCACCCTCCCACAAAAAGTACTCTGCTTCATTCCTCTGTGTGGTTTATTAAATATTAAGTTGAAATATGATTATGCAGAACTTTTTAATAACTCTCACAAAGGAGATACATGTGCTAGGAAGGTATCATTACTGCAGCTGTTATCCAGAATGAAGATATGATTAATTTAAGTAAATCTGTAGCTTAATTACTTGACTAGTATTAAGTGTGGTATTAAGAAAGAAAAACACGGTTTGTGTTTGAATGTAGGACTTGAAATCTTAGCCTTCTCAAGTCTAGTGCTGGGGGCTTCTTAGGCGATTTCATCAATTAGGATTTACGTACTTTGCATTTTGTTTATTTGATTTGGATTTATTGTAAGGTAATTTTGACTTTGTAGATGTAATTTGCATTTTGTTTATTTGATTTGGATTTATCGTAAGGTAATTTAGACTTTTTAGATGTAATTTGCATTTTTTTTATTTGATTTGGATTTATCGTAAGGTGATTTAGAATTTTTAGATGTAATTTTAATTTTTTGGAATTAATTTTGAGTTTTTCGAATTAATTAGGATTTTTTTGTATAAAAATTTGGACTAACTTAAATTTTCTGGAATTAGTTGGAATTTTTGTAATCAAACTTTTATTTTTTGAATTAGTTTAAATAATTTCTTTATTTAATTTAGATTATTTTTATTATGAATTCATTTAAATTTTCTAGTATATACCTGCAATTTTTTGAAATTTAATTTGATATTAAATAGTTAAGTGGGCTAATATTGTATAAAAAGAAGTTGGGCCGACCCTATGGCCCGACCCAGCCCAGCCCGACCCAACAGGGCCATACAGGGCCAAATGAGAATAGGGTCGGGCCGGGTCGGGCCAAATACTTAAGCATACAGGGCTGGGTTTTTTTTGGGTAGTGACAGGGTCAGGACTGGGTTTGGCCCAGTTTCACCCCTAACCGCAAGAGAGGAATGATAAACGGGCTTTTCTTGCTGAACTGAATGTTTTTTGCAGTCAACATACAAGGGCGGTGTGCGTTGCAGGTGACTTTAATTTGGTCAGGACTCACGATGATTATATCAGGGTGAGACGAAGCTCGGAGATGATGATCGAATTCAATGATTTCATAAATGACAATAATTTCCAAGAGTTTCCTCTGTGTGGCAGCAGGTATACTTGGAGTCATGGATCAAATAGGGAGTTTATGTCTCGCATCGACAAGGTTCTAATTTCCCAGGAATTCGAAATGTTCTACCCGGATTACACCTTTACAACCCTGAACAGAATTGAATCAGACCACAATTTACTTGTTCTAAGGTGGGGAGAGAACAATAAGATTAGAAGACCATGGAGGTTCTAGAATATGTGGCTTGAGGATCCCAGATTTTTCACCGAATTGAGCAAGTGGATGGTTGAAAGTGTTCAAGGAATTGGAGGCGTCTTTCTTCTTGCTAGAAGACTGTTGTTAGTCAACTCGAAAGTAAAAATCTGGAATAAAGAGGTGTTCGGCAACATTGACACCAAGGTAGAAGAACTATCTATCAAAATCATGGATCTGGACGTGACTGAAAAAGAGCGTGATCTAACCAAGGACGAGAAGATTTTGAGAACTCGTATGGCTATTGATCTTAGTAGGTCTCTCTTTCTTCAAGAGATTTGCTGGAGGCAGAAGTCTAGGGAAGGGTGGATTAAGCTGAGGGAAAGGAATACGAGTTATTTCCACAAAGCGGCAAACTATAGGAGGAAGGTCAACTACATCAACAGAATAAGAATCAATGGGCAGATGGTCGATTTCGGAGAGGGCATCTTGAGTTTCTATAAGGGCCTATTCAGTGAAGCCAATGTTCACCGCCCGTATCCCACCAAGTTGGCTGGCGTGCTTCTCGGTGAGGGGGATTGCAGTTTGCTTGAGTAGTCATTTACAGAACAGGAAATTTGGTTTGGAATTCAGGACAGTGACGGTAGTAAAGATCCAGGGCCCGATGGGTTCACATTCGATTTTTTCAAGAAGTGTTGGCAATGGCTGAAGGTGGATATACTTAAGGCTTTTCAGGATTTTTTCATCTAGGGTGTTCTGCCTAACTGTGTCACCCACTCCTTTGTTTGCTTAACTCCAAAGAAAGACACCATTGAGGATATTAGAGATCTCCGTCCTATCAATCTGATTGGTACTATCAATAAGCTGATCAATAAGGTTTTATCAAGGAGGTTAAGCTTGGTTCTGGTGAGATTAGTTTCCAAGCAACAGTTTGCTTCTGTGAAAGATAGACAGATTTCTGAGGCGGGGCTAATCGCAAATGAACTGGTGGATAGTATACGGAGGAGCAGGAAGCCTGGTCTCATGTTCAAGCTCGACATCAAGAAGGCTTTTGATAACGTGAATTGGGATTGCCTGTTCAGAATCCTTCATATTTTAGGCTTTCCCGAGAAATGGTCCAGGTGGGTTAAAGGAAGTATGTGTTCTTCTCTTATTTCTATTCTGATTAATGGGGAAGCTAAAGGATTTTTCAAGGCCTCAAAAGGTTTAAGACAGGGCGATCCCCTCTCCCCCGGGCTGTTTGTGCTCTTGATGGATGTTTTGTCCTGGATGTTGAATTCTGTGAGGGAAGCAGGTAAATTCGAAGGATTTCACATGGATGAAGTCTCAAAAAGGGGACAGGTCACTCACCTTCTATTCACAGACGATACTCTCATCTTTTGCAACACGCATTATGACCTGGTGCTGAATATTTTGGCAACAATGGTGTGTTTTCAATCGTTTACGGGTCTAAGAATCAACCTTGATAAATCTGTAATGTACACAGTGGGGATGTGGCGGAACCTAGTTTCTTCGCGAGCATTTTTGGTTGCAAGTGGAGCAACGAACCACGCAAATACTGGGTTTTCCTCTCGGGGGTAAACCGAATGAGGCTGCAATGTAAAATTCGGTGATTGATAAGCTCCATAGCAGACTAAACGGATGGGATAGCAAACACCTATCCAGCGGGGCGAAGCTTGTGTTGTGCAAAGCGGTCCTTTTGAGCATGCCCACATACTTATTCTCTCTTTTCAAGACGCCAGTTTTGGTTATTAAGGACATGGAGAAAATTCAGAGGAGATTTCTTTGGAGTGGTGCGGATGACTCTAACAGGATGGCTCTTGTGGATTGGAATCTTTGTAAGGTTGAGATTGAGAATGGGGGGTTGGGCTTCCATGATCTCAGAGCGTTCAACGACGCAATGATTTCCAAATGGTTGTGGAGATTCACAACAGAGAGAAACTGTTGGTGGCGGAAGTTGATTGCGATCAAATACCCTAACCCACGGTCTAATTGGCAGGCCACCAAAGCTCGAGTTGGCTTTTTCGCATTCGGTGTGGGCTAATATTTCCAAAGAATACAACCTCTTCTAGAAGTTCGCTTCTCTGGTTCCCGGTAACGGGAACTCTGTTTCATTCTGGTATGATTGTTGGTCCCTTGGTATTGTGTTGGCCTCCCAGTTCCCTCGCGTCGCCGCCGACCCTGAAGCGAGACTTTCCGACGCGGTTTCCCCCTCTGGCGATTTGGTGAGTTGGTCTTTTAATCTCAAATTCAATTTAAGAGGGGGGTGTAGAGAGGGAGAGAATCCTTTTGATGAACTTTCTTGATAATATTAAGTGGCGGAACAATAATCTTAGCCCTTGTAGAATTTTGTGGAACCCTGATAAAAATGGGAAGTTTTCTGTAAGTTCTCTCTACAGGAATCTTGTGAAGGATGTTTTTGCATGTGTTCAAGAGTTTCCAGACAAGCATATTTGGAAGACGGTAATTCCGGGGAAGGTGTGTTTCTTCACGAGTGGTTCAAAGATTGCATTCTCCACTCCGTTTGGTGGGTGGTGTGGCTTGAAAGAAATCGTCGTACGTTCGAGGATAAAGCTTCGACTGCATTTGTGGTGGCCAAGTTAGCGGCAAGGAATGTGATGGAATGACTGGTGGCACTGATACGTGTTGAATTTGGATAGCTCCCTTTTCTTGGCAGAAGTAGACCAGATTTCTCCTTTCTTGGCGAGAATGGCCAGGGTTTCTATTTTTCTGAAATTTGCCGTCTGTTATTGAATCCATTCTGACCTTAAATACACAACTTGAAATGAAAAGGGCTATCTAAGTGGAACTACTTCCACGTTTATCTAAAGCTACCAACTAACCATAAGTTGCTTAACCCACTACTCCTAAAGACTCTAACAAACTTAGGATTCTAACCACCCTGCTTACCCGCTAACACTACTAATTATAATTATCAATCAAATCCTTACTTAGACAAGCTTGCTAAGTGATTAAGGCCTCGTGCCTTTATGGGCTGGGCTACTCCTCATCGTCATATGACATCGGTGTTGGACTACGACAACTTAACCATGTATGATGCTCATCATTACCACCCCCTGAAAAACGGCCTTGTCCTCAAGGCCGAGCTGAATGAAGCGATCATAGAACACCCATTGGATATTCTCGGTAGAATCATCGATGGGAAGCCACCTCCCTTGACTCGATTCCGTCATCCAATCCAACCCTTCAGTTGATGGACCATTAGTC